TATACTTCTCTATCCTGGTCCGCACTAAGGCAGGTGAGTATTACGTTAGTGTTCCGTGAGGCTTGTCTGGCGATGCAGTGGAGTTGGCGTGCTTAAGGAGGGTTTGACAAGACTAATCTATTTGATAGACTAACTTGTGACAATCTTGTTAAGTAAGGATACTAGTAAGAAAGTACAATTTGAGTTGACCACAACGAATGTAATAATGAAATCCAACCCATTCTTATATCCGTTGCCTTTGGTCCTGCCATCCCTTACTTCCCTGCCATCCCTGGGATGGTTGTGATGTTGGGGATGGCTGCCATCCCAAGGCGTCCTGCCATCCCTCGGATGGTTGCCCTTGGCGGGATGGCACATCACGTGACCTAGCCCCGCGATGATCATTACCTTCTGACGTGGACGTCCATAGGCCTTCAGCCATCTCGTCATTTGTCAAGGAGAGAATCCTTCTTGTTACTTGTAACAGATAGCTCTAAGAGGGGAGGTAATGTTACAAGTAATAAGAAGGATTCTCTTCTTAATAAATAACGAGATAGCTAAAGGCCTACGGACGTCCATGTTATAAGGTAATAATTACCGCGGGGCGAGGATTACGTAATTAACATTACGCTAAGACGACCGTTAGGCGCTAGTATATAATGGCAGTAATCCTCTAATAGCAGCTATTAGGGACATTAGGCCAAGACGTTGGAAGTTATAATGGCAGTAATAGCAGGACTAGAAGCAATAAGGATATAAGGATAGATAGATTTCATTATTACTCTCGTTGTAGTCAACTCAAATTATACTTTCTTACTAGTTACTTTACTTAATAAGATTATTACCTGTTGGTTTATAACAATATAAACTAATAGTTGTCGAACCTGTTGTCTCTTCTTATTAAGCACGCCACTCCACTGTCTCGCTAGATAACTTTCACGGAACACTAGCGTAAAGCTCACCGGCCTTAGTGTGGGACCTGGCAAGAGAAGTATAGATCCTAACCCCGTGTAACAACTAACCATAATTCGCGTACATGTAAGAAAGATACTTTAGATAGTATTTAATCTACTACCTTAATATACATAAATTTTATTCAGTTATGGTAGAGCTGTATACGTAGAGAGGTGTGCAAAGTTAGTGGGGTGCGCCGCTCGCTTGTACGCGCCGCTCGCTTGTAAAACACGTTAAAGGAAGAACAAACATCTAAGGACTAGTGAGATTTGGTAACGGCGGCCTGGTCAACGTCGGTGTATTTACTAGCTGCAGCATTGATATCGACCGCACTTGCGGTACTGCTGGTGGATGCGGTAAATTGACGATTGCAAAGCGTGATGGCTGCGATGGTATGGAAATCAACGTTAGCTTCTTGGGTAGGTGGCCCAGTGCATAGCTCGGCGGATTTCAACATTCATCCATCACCTGGGCTCATTTGATTCGGGAAATTTGCATCTATTAGATCTAGACGCATGTTACGAGTTGTTTAAAGACGGATTACTCAGGGACGAGTTGTTTGAGTTTTGGTGCCGAAGAAGCCTTCTTTATGGGTTCTTCTCGCATCCGATCACTGCAAAGTTCTGAGAAATCTTTTGTATCTACGTCGCTTCGAAAGGCCTGAGTTACAGCGAATACAACTCCTATTCAACAACTACTAAGTCAAGAAAAATCGATGAAAGTAAGGTTTTGTTGACTTTTTGAGAGAACAAACTGGAGTGTGACACGGGTTTCGCCTACGATTTTTCCTGATACTAGTCTCGACCATGGCGAGAACAACTAGGGTGCAGAATTTATCATAGGTTCTAATTTGATTCTTATAGCGAATATTTGACTATAGGGCTTGGTTTGTTTATATACTTTCACGTGCCTGGACCTCCCAGAGCAGAAATCGAATATTATCCGTGTGCTCTTCATCGTTATAGTAATTGCTATAAATAGCGTGGTCCAGCAATAGTCTTACGAAATGGTCGTCTTGTCGTCTGATGAACTGGCAAAAGTCGACGTTATCCCTCTCTAATATGAATTTGACAAAGCATTGATTCATGAAAAAGTGTGGTCTTTGAGTAATGGCCTCGATATCTTTCATAGAGGGACTGATGACAGACGAGAGGAGGTTGGAGAGGGCGACTGTGGTGGCAGAATCACTGAGGGCTGCGAGATAGGCAAACACGGTGGTGATGCCTTGGACAGCAAACGAGCGCCTTATTTCATCCTCTCGATCTTGACTCGTTCGAATGTCCGCAAGGACAATCAAAGTACGGTTCTGGAGACGTTTGGTGTCGATATGGTAGATGGTGCTGGCGGGCGGACCGACCCGAGCTAGTTCTGCGGAGAGGCCCGCATGGTGAAAGTCGAGTTTGAGAGCGGGAGTGGCATTATTCGCTACCAGATGGCGATTGAGGTAGGCAACAAAATGGTCGCGCAGGCTGTGAGTGGCCGTGGGAACTTGGTCGGATAAGACGGCAACAGCGAAGTCGTCTATAGGACCGGGGAGGGTGGGAATATAGGCCTTGGCGAGGTCCGTGCCGAAGCGATGGGCCAATCGGCCGTCGCCAAAGATGTAGCGCTGGTAGTCCTTGAGAGAAAAGGGAAATCTCAGCTTATCGTCGGCGACGATGCTGTGAAGCGAGAAGACATCTTGAACCATTGGGTCCGGGCCAGGTCCTCTGACGCTAGAAGGTGAGATTTCGCAGGTTCAGAGAGAGAACGTGGCCAGGCATTTGAAGGGTCGGCCCATGGCCAGATTAGCGGCAAGAACCGTCTGGAATCGAGATGCCAAGAGGGGGCTGTGCAGCGGACGCCTTTCTATCGATGTCGACGATGGCTCCTTGCCATGTACAGTATGCGCATGTGTGTACTTAAATGCCTCAATCCACATCATGGGGACAGCCAATGTCAAAAGACGGCTGGACATACCCCAGCCAGTATCGCACAATCACCCCTCTGGACCATTTGCTGATCGAAGCTGGATGCCGGAGACGCCAAACGCGCATGACGCGTCTCGGAACATGTTTCCCATTGCCATGAGGATCTGCGTCTGCACCACGATAAGTTCCGAACGGTGTGAACGGCTTCTTGGCGCGCGATGTGGCAGTCTATTGCAATTACAGTAGAGACGCCAATTGCTCAAGAAGGTCAATGGCACGTTCCGACTCTGCGTCTTGAATCTTTTCCTACAATGAGCCATACATAACAGGCCAAGGAAAAGCTTGCTGCATTTATATGCAGAAAGCACAAAGCTTGGCGAGTAGTCGGGTATGTTCATCAATCATCTTTGATTTCGTGTAGCTCACGTGACCAGATATACTAATTGATGGGTCACGTGGGCAAAGCATGTGCGACATGACTCTACCCACATATTAAGGAAATAGCCACTGCATACGGAATCACTGTATACGAATCACACTATTTTAATACGCTTGAATCTGTGCCAATGGTTGCATAAAAAAGGACAATGACCCTGGCAGATGGGCCTGCATTCCATTGGTGGCACGATGTTACACAAATCAGGACCTTGCTCATAATGCTCGCTGGTCGATCACCGCGAATAACTTGCAGAACATTGCATGCTATGCTTCTGTGGCGCCAAAGATCACTCCCTATCTTCGCACCCAACGGTGCTGCGTCTCCCTTGCCAAGAAGCCTACAGGAAAATCGTCAACCACCAAATTAGTCGCTCCTGCCTCCTTCACACACCCCACTACACAAACTGCCCTCTCATTCCAGCACACCATGCACTCTTCTGCAATCCCGGCTTCGACTCGCCGTTCGCGCAAGAATCAGATGTTGCTTATTCAATCCATCAACACAACTAGTACAGTGGTGACGGGCTCCTCCGCGCCGTCACGACCCAAGTATTTACCTACTTCACAGCGATGCGAACAGAAATTGAACCCTTGGTCGTCTGTGCCACGATCAAGTCGTGGTCATATGAAATGTCATCCTTGACGGTATCAACCAGTTTGGCCCTAGGATGAACATCTAGCACCATATATGCGCACATGATGTAAAGCTCACAGTATGCCAGCTGCTCGCCAATGCATGCGCGACTGCCTTTTCCAAACGCAATCAGCTTCTTCTGCAGCGAATAGTTCTGCGTACCATCCTCCAGTAGCCAGCGTTCAGGAAGGAATTCGTCTGGATCGGGGAAAAGCTCAGTGTTCCAGTGGTTGATCATGGATGTCATGCCAATGGGTGTGCCCCGAGGAATCACAAAGTCCGTCTTTCCGTCTGCCGAAATGTAGTGCAAGTCCTCTTCACGCGCGATTCTGGCCGACCGATGCGATACGCCAGGCATCATGCGCAGACACTCTTGCAACACGGCCCAGAAATAAGGAACCTTTTCAAGCTCAACCCATTTGAGATTCTGTGTGCTAATACCGGCTTGTGCAAGGTCAGATGCCAGCCTTTGATTAATCTCTGGCTTGGCGAGGGCCCAGTAGGTAAAGACGGTGAGAATGGCCTAAAACGAGGTTAGTACTGCTGTATTTGTGATCAGCTCCTCAAACCTAGTTTAACTAACAGCAGTTGTTTCAGTACCCGCAAGCAGGAAATTAAAGCCCTCGCCATTGTACCGGTATTTCTCTTCTTCCGACATGGACTTATCTTTACCCATGACTTCGGCAAAAACACGTCCGTTATCGGGATTTTTCAGCGCCTGCGCGACGTACTGTGGAATTGTCACGTTCATGACCTTCATTACTGCCTTGATGTCTTCGCCCAGATAGTCGGCCATGAAGGGAAGCACTTGGGCCATCTTGCGGCCCAAGGCATTGTGGCGCATCATGTAGGCACTCTTGAAGAACGACTTGACCCATGTGGCGAAGTTGGGCTCCCAACCTTCTTGCGCCACAAATCCCATGGGCTCACCAAAAGCATACTGAGAGATGACATCGGCTGTGTAGCAGTTGAACGCTTCCTTGACATCGAATTCACCCTTGCCGGCTGACCTGAGCATCTTCTTTGCGACCATGGATGCGAATTCGTGCACCTCGCCTTCTAATTTCAGCATCTGCTGACGCGAGAAGAACTTGTTCAGCGGCGCCCTTCGCGCACGATGCAGATCATGGTTAACCGTGGAGAATCCAGTCACCGAGACAGGGCCAGCCCCACCAGTGTTCAGCTGGTGCTGCCATTTGTCTCGAACATGTCCCGGTCCAGCGTAGATCTCGTCTGTGAAGGCGGGGTCGGAGCAGTGTAGTTCGTCGGGGTTGATGCGCACGATTGGGCCATACTTCTCGTGCATACGCGAGATGACTTTACCATAGCGCCCGACAAGCCACCAGTCGTAGTAGGCTTCGTAGAGGTAGGATGCAGCAGCAATCTTAGGGCCTGGAAATCGGGAGAGGGGGTGAAGAGGCGAGATGTTGTAAAGCGCGATTGCGATTCGATAGCCGATCCAAGCCACAACCAGCCAAATGATGCTCGCAAAAGAGAATATTGACGTCTGGCCTTGGGCCGCGCCGGATTGCTGGTCCATGGTGATGTTTTCGGTGACTTGTCGACACCCAGCCTGCACAGTGACGGGAGCAGATATAGGACGACGTTCTGGCGAGGTCGACTCCTATATTATGAATGCTCCTGTCCAACGCTTACATATGCCACATCAAAGCCGATCCATCCTCCTCGGGGTCAGTGGCTTTTTTTCACCAATCAATCCTTGGCGATAAGAGGAGTAGCGCGTATTCTTCGAATATTTTGCACTTTAGTATGCTCCACTTTAGTTCCACATTTGGCCTCCCCATCATTGGTGCTTCAAGTCCCTGCTGTGCCACATGGGAGAGCGTTGCACTATGCAGGTGGAGCTGCACCCACTTCCGCCGCGGCGAAGCTACCCAAATACGAGGCTCGAGTCAATGACCTTGGGGATTTGCTTGACAGCCCCCTTGTCCCACATGTTCTTGGATGCAGCCGAGAAATCACCTCGCCGACTACATCCCGACAAATTCCGTAGACCATGGACCTGGCGAGAGAGAAGAGAAGATGAAAAGCAGGTATCTTGAGTTTGGGGTTTTGACTACTCCTTGGCGTTCCCCTGCGTCCAAAACAACGCGGGAGTTGACTGCCGACCCCTAGTCGAGTGGAGCCGGGTCGATTTTATTCCCCTAAGTGCAGGCGCTGCGGGTTGCGCGGGATACGGCTAAGGCGTGCAGTATGCAATCTTGGCACTGTGGATTCGTGCCTGGCCTACGGAGGAGCGCGTCAAAAGTCTTCGCGACAGGGGTAGGCAGCGCACTGACGCACCGCAGGTCTTGGCATTTGCTGTTTTGACAGCTTATTCACTGATATCCTCCCACTCATTATCTACATTAATTTTGATAGCCTTTACAGCTGTAGCCTCCCTCTCAGTGCCCTTTCCTGTTCTCCTACCCTCTTTATATTCATTGCCACCTTCTAATCTAATGATATTTTGAATATGAATTGGTATTCTTTTAATCCACTCTTGAATCTTCTACTGAGGTAGCTCGTCCCAAGCTTTCGTCCAGGCTCTGATAGCTTCAACCTTACTCCTTGGAGCTCCCTTTTTCGTAGTAAGCCTCTTCATATATGGCTAGCAGCACTCTATTGCATTAAGATTAGGTGAATTACCGCACCAGAGTAGCCTAGCTACCTCAAATATATTAAAGACCTTCTGTTGTGAGTGATGCGCATGAGAAGGAGCTTTATCTTCTTGAACGAGAGTATATAGCCTCTCTTTCTTACACTCTTAAGCAAAAGGCAGAAGCTTAGGTATTAATATTTCAGCGCGATATCTCCACCAATCAATACTATTTCCTTTACCACGAGTAAGCTTACCTGTATCTGCAGTAAATTTCTAAGTTAGCTTCTTACCAGGCTTCGTACGTAGGCCTAGCCTTCTAACTCCAGTATTCAGTTCCCACTCAGCTCTAGCCTCAGCTTCAAGCTCTTGGTTAAGAGCCTCAATAGCCTTACGAGCTTCTTCCTTCTGCTTTCTTGATTCAGGTTGCCAACAGTGGCAAGGACCTTTCTTGTCATATGAGAAGCTCCCCCAGAACATGAACTCAGAGTAGCCTTTCCACCTCTCACGTATAGTACTGCGCAGAAAAGCTTCATCAGATTTCCTCTAGATCCGATAGTCTCCACGGCGGTGATTAAGGACTACAGAGGTCTCATCTGTCCATATAACATTCTTCCAATCCTCAAGAGTCCACTTCTCTCGCTCCTTGCACCAGGCTAGTCTCTCCTCCCTCATCTTCTTGGTCAACCCAGGCTTCCTCGTCGGCTTCGTCTTCTT